ATCTTCAGAGAATGATTTCAAATGCTTGTATTAGATGTGTGGGTGTCCTAGATTCTTCATTTCTGTCCAAGGTGCCTTACTGTCAGCTTCTAATCCTCTGTTGACTCCAGCAATAAATGGCTTTCTGATCATCCATTGAAGACTGATTGACTGTGTCTGGAGAGAGAATTTACTAAGTCCTGACAGTGCTACTTCAATTCTGGCACTTTAATGAGGAGTGCAAATTGTACTTAGAACTGCACAAATATTTCAAAGGCTTGAATCCATTGCTTTCCAGGCAATTTTGAAAGGGCAAGGTTGTAAATATATTATGACCACAGGGTCTTCAGGGCTAAAATTAAAGTACAAGCTGTGGTATGTAAGTCATTCAGAGAACAAGCCAGATTCTTATTGGCTTAAAAGAGAAATGCAGTCTTTGCTGGCATTTATCACCATGAAATGGGAGGCATGAACCAGTGTGGAAAAATAATGGTGGTAATATTTATAGCTGTTGGGAGCTGATTGTTACATTTTTGCACAACATCAAATTTTGGAAATGATAAAACTCAGTTTCCTTAGGCAGACAGGGGCAGGTAGAATTTTTATTTGCTTACATCTGCAAATAAACCCTGATTATTCCAATGTCCAAAATCTGAGTTTGCAGAATCCCAGTGCATAGAGATTGACAAGATTGTTATAGCCAGACAGTCAGAAACATTTCATGAGGATACACTGTGTATATGAGAAAAAAATACATAACAAAATGTAATATCTACAAATGAAAGATCTTTATGTAGGATTAAATTGTAAAATAAGGGGCCCAAGTGGTGGTAAAAAAAATGCTCTACCTTTCCACAGTAGTGGGATTACCTGTTCCTATGAGGCAAGAGGCTACTTTGATGATAGCAGTGCTCCTAGTAGGGTCTCCCATGTCAGACAGGCTTTTGCTGAGGACCCAGACTAAATGTGCCAAACAGCTGTGACACTAATGGAGGATAACAGCAGTGGCACTACAGCCAGTGGCATCACTAGGGTAGGTGTCACTCAATGCAGTACACTCATGATGTCACCCCCAAGGGCTTCCAGAAAAATTGATAAAATCAGCATCTATTAAAAAAAAATCCAGCAACAACAAAAACAAAAGCATGTGCTTGTAGCACATTTAGACAAAACCAGGTAATTTGATGCGTTATTGCAATTGGGTAATAATGACACTTCTGATCAGAGTGCATGAGCATTAAAAAGTTCAAAAAAATAAATTCACATAGAGTTTAGTCTCGTAGGTATACTGATACAGTAACTGTAACCCATTGTTCATTCTCACCTTCTAGCATTCTGAAGCATACTTCCTTGGAATATGGAGGTTCTGTTTAGCACAGTATGGCTGCAGCCGCACTGCAGAAATAATCCAATTGACACCACTTTAGATGTCATGGCTCAGTGCGATGGAATTTTGGGAATTGTATTTTTGTGAGACATTTAGCCTTTTCTGTCAGAGAGCTCAAATTACAATTCCCAGAGTTCTATAACATTGAGCCATATAAACCTGGATTATTTCTTCAGTGTTGATGCAGCCCATGACAAACATGGTTGTTACTCCTTTTGTCATGACTTTTGTCTAATCCACATGGAAAGTCAATTAAGCACTGATGATAACCTCATCTTTGGCAGTGTGTGCTGCACATTAATTTTGCATTGTGTGAGTGCTTTGATTATGTATTCCCACATGGCAGGGGATTGGATTGGATGGCCCTTGTGATCTCTTCCAACTGTATGAGTCTATTATAAAAAGTGCTATCTCTTAACTGACCTGAACCTATGGTCAGCCAGTTTGATTTGATTACCTTTAGTTCTTATATTCA